TTGGCTGAGGTGTAATGCTCCATGAACACTGCTGTTCAGCCTACCACTAACACAAGGATATTCATCTGTGTATGATGTAGAGCTGGACCTGCTAAACCCTGCTCAGCCCAAATGGCTTTATGTAGGGATGTTTCAAGTGTATTTTACTAGGTTTTCGGCATGAGTCCTTCAGGGATGCTGGGCACAGACTCTGTGCTCGTGCTTGTAGGTGGTTTGTGTCTTCCTGGGTTTATCGATTCTGGCCTTGATGTATCCAAGACAACTCCTTGCTGTCCAGGAGCCATGGTAATTTGGACACAGCACAAATGGATGACCCTGCTTGTATGTGATGCTGTGTGTGACAAGTGAGCCCCTCTGGACCTGTGGGATGCAACTTTGCAGCAGCCAGTCTTGGTGCAGGACTGGGCTGCAGCTACTTAAACTCAAGCTAGGTCTTTGCAGAGACTTTAAGGTTCCCTTCCCTGAGTTTCCCAAGCCTGTCCTGCCATAAACATCGCAGCTCGGCTTCTCTTTTACTCTTCCTGTAAGAAACTAGGACATCCCTCTGTACACAACCAACTGAATGCTTTGGATTCAGATGTCAGTAAGAATGGGAGTGGGAACCTGGATTGCATGTTCATAACAGGCAGTACAGTTACTTTCTTATTTTGCTGCAGTTGCTACACACACAGTTGTATTTCTGCCTGAGGAAGCAAAAAGCCTTCACAGAAGAGTACAAAAAAAAAAAAGCATGTGTTTCCCCAAGTCTGAACTCATGAGCTTGTATGTGCTTTACTGTAACCTGACTCTTCTTATAAGAAATATATTTTGCATAATTGGCAGTGGCAGCCACATATTCTGAGAGAAAAACTGTGTATAACCTGTATCATTGATAATGACTTGCAGAAGAACCTTCCATAAAAGTAAAGGATAATTTAGCACTTGAAAGCCAGGCCTCAAAACAAAAATAAAATGTTTTTCGTTTTCTGTGCCTAGGCTAGGATTCATCTCACCTCACTGTAGACACTGGCAGCATAGACACATATGGTAGGACCCATCACCAAGCTCTCTTTGCAGTCAATACAGGGAACAGGCATTTTTTAGGCCATGATTCATCTGACCTATTTACATGTCTGCTGTAGGAGGAGATGAATCACTGCCTAGACTAGATCTGTGCGGAGGATAAAGGGAGCCTAAGATGGCTAGCTCAGATGTAGATGCATATACAGATCTACAGTCTGAATTTAGGCTTGCAGTTTGGAACAACAATTTTTCAAAGAGTTAAATTTCCTAAGCCACATTTTCCTGCAGAATGTGTGTATGAATATATATATATGGTTTTTTTCTTTCCGCAACAGAAACATTTGCAACAATATATTTTGAAATCTAGCCCTATATCCCTTTCTCCAAATGTTCCACCATCTGAAGAGCTACCATTTTATCTCTCTTTGCCTCTGCCCCTCTTTCACACATGCAGACATGTGTATCCATGCCATGCTTCAGAGCTAGGCCTCCTGAATTTTCAGCATTAACTCAAAACATACTTCTCTGTGTGTGGTAGCCAGAGCTGTTACACACAGATAGATATATTATCTGGGGGGTTTGTTTGTTTGTTTGGGTTTTTGTTTGGTTTGTTGTTTTGTTTTTTCAAGTGAAAGCAAAACATGCAAACAAAACCATCAAATGAACATTCCTGAACTTTGCTTATGTTTAAAAGTAATAACTTTTTTTCGTGTTTTCTGCTAGAATTTGCTCTCCTCTGCCTGCAGCCTTGGTGAGGCAGTGCATCGTAGGAAGAAAAACATCAGTTTCTGGGAGACAAGCACTGATGCAGATGAAGAGAGAAGACAGACTTGATCATCTGAAAAAGGGTTGCAGGTTCCTGTGTGAAGCTCTGGGAAGACAAGAGAGAGGTAATGTTATATTATTATGTATAGGAGATCAGAGTTGAAAGTATCTTGTGTGTGCGGATTGAGGATGATGTCCTCACAGGAACACTAAGGCATTTGCTGCTGTATAATGTCCCAGTGCATCTGAATATCCATTGACACTGCAAGCGGCAAAAAAGTAATATTTAAAAAATATTTAAATATTTTAAAAAAGGAAAAAAAAGGAAGCCACCCTGTTGCAGAGCTCTACAATGCTCAGCTGGTGCTGAGCAGTGCTTGTAGCTACAATAGTGGTAGGCAAAATCTCTTTCACATCCAGCCATTGGCACACAGCACAGCAACCCATATATGTGAGCACCTGGTTGATCAGTTTGCTTGTGACAGTTCTTGGCACGCCCTCTCCTCTGCCTGTACAGCTTTACCAACGCTTGTGTTTTGTGGGATTTTTTATCTTTTCCCCCACAAGCTCTTGTCTGCCATGGGAAAACTTGGAACAGAGCAACACTGGTGCTGGCAACAACAGGAAACTGCATTTTGGATAACCCTTTACAGTGCAAGCTTTGCAGCTATTTAAGGGGTTTTCTGTGGGGATTGGGAGGAAGGGCTGTCCATCATCCAAAGTCCATTGCAGAGAGAAATGTGCCCATGATTGCAAAGGTCTTTGACAAAGGCCGGGAGCATCTGAAGGCCACCTCTGAGAAATGGGCATGGGCTTATGGTTTCCCACAGAGTGCAGTGCAGAAGCAGCTTGAAGAAGAAAGAGTGCTCCTTCACTGGTCATCCCAGTGCATCATTCATTAAATATAACGCCCTACAGGAAAATGAGGGCTTCATGTTCTCTCTGCCCCCTCCTGCATCAGCCCTGACGTCAGTAGTTTCTAACCATGGAAGTTAAATTAAGGCCAGTGCAGCCTAATAGGCAAGGAGAGCAAATGCTATGAAGTCCAGGTAATGAGAAAATACCTGCCATCTGGAGCTGTCATAAAGCATGAATTTACATCACTTCCCTCAAAATAAATAAATTACAGCATGGGGAACATTACTTTCCTTGGAGGCAGCACCTTCCTACTGCCCAAAATGTTGGCGTGCCTGCCTTCTGTGTGACTGGTGGCTTCTGCCAAAAGCCCCAGAGAGATGCGCACAGGCATGGGAGGCATCTGCAACCGCTGGCTGTTCAAGCACAATGGCTGGAGTGGGATCTGTTCGGCTGCATCCGCTCGCTCCCTTCCTCGCTCTGATGGAAAGTTTTCCTCCCAGCTCTGACAGCACCACAGCCACTTGGGGAAGCACATGACTTCCTCGGGAGCCGGCATTTCTTATTTGTGTTGCAGGCCTCCAGCAGGCATGGCACCGAGGCAATATTTATATCAGTTTTTGTAACATCGTGGCAGCAGCTGCGGTTTTGGGAACTGAAGTGCTGGCTGGAAGTGGAGAGAATGGCACAAAGCACACCACACCATGTAGGAATCAGGGTGGAAGGGGGAAAAAAAGAAGGAAAGGGAGAAAATCGTCAATCAGCCTCCTCCCTTAGGAAGCTCGTTGTGTTCCCATGTGCCAGGTGTGCCACTTGCCCTCCAGATGGTTGCCACAGGGCCCATCTGTGTAAGACTGAGTCAATAGAAATCGCAGCTCAGGATGACAGCTACGGGACCAGATCTTTCCCTGCAGGGTGCTTGTGTTGTTGGGGGCACAGGGCAGGGGAAGGGGAGTCCCCTGACTGGGTGATTTTCTGTGCTACATGCTTAACAGCGCAGTGGGGTGGTGCGGGAGAGCTCCAGCCCTTTGGCTATGAGACAGCGCAGTGTAACCCTCCTGTGCGGATAGCAAGCCTGCCTCCAAAAGCAGGGCAGCCCAGTGCCGTGCCTTGGCAATCATCCTTATCAGGCTCATTAGCCTGGCTGCAAAGCCATGCTGGTGCATCCATGCTGCTTTCAGTTCTCTGGTTGGCATCTTTGCCCCATGCTATGCCGGTGTCCCAGCTTATGTGAGTTACCTTGCTGTGGCTGGGCAATCCCCAGGGAGCTAGGATGAGGGGCCTGTGTTCCAGGTGATTTATTTGTTGCTTCCCATTACAGGAATGTGACTCTATTCTCTCCACTTCTGCCTCCTGGCTTGATTTCAATGGTGTTAAGCCAGCAGACGTTTGAGACTTCGCTGTTGCTATGGGCCTGGAAGTCATACCTGGCTGAAAGAGGGTGGAGACCTGTTCACTGTGTCTCCACTTCTGCGTCTACCCTGCAGCTGAAGCAAGTAAGTGCCCATGGCAGGTCCCATGTGCGTAGGAGGAGCTCTCTGCTATCCGTGCATGCTCTTAGTAGGTGCCTTGTACCTCTGCTGCCAAACAACAGTGGCTGGCAGGAGAGTGGTCCTGACTTCTTCCCTGTACGCTGCTTGTTCTTTGTGCCATTCCGTTGGTCTGTGGAAATATGTCTGATAGAGAAGGTATCACACAGTCCCCAGTTATCTTGGAGCTTAGTGGAGCTGAACAAAGTTGACATGGAACTAAAATGTTTCCACCAGACTCCAGTTAATATGTGATGCACATTTTATCGTGGGCAAGAGCTGAAGGTCATTTGCCTTAAACATTGCTGTTTAGTGCAAAATACCTTCGCTCTCCTGAACGAAACAGGGTCTCAAGAAAAAGGCCCTCATTGCTGGGCCACCAATGAGCGCTCCATGTCCATATGCCCCACAGTCCTCTGAAAGGACTGCCATGGGGCACCTGCCAAGGGAACCATCACTGTCATCTGCCTGGGAGTGCAATGAAAACCGGCACTTGAGGTTGCACTGCACGCAGCCTGAGGTAGAGACACCATTAAAAACAGGTAATATGGTGAGCATGGCTCCTTGGGCTGTGTCCCTCAGGAACCCCCCTCCAGACTTCCATTTCCTAAGCCCTTGTGCCATGAGCAGTTCTACTCTATCTCACTAAGAATTGAAACCTCGGTGCCCAAGCTGTTTCCTTAGCTTAAGGTATTTCCTTAGCCCAAGAACTCTGAAATGCTCCTGGTGAGCAGGGTTGGGGTAAGAAAGGCAGGGAGAGGGAGGGAGTAAGCAAACATGTGCCAGCAGCGGTGGCAGATCCTTAGAGGTGGTACGAAGGGGAGGGCTTGGCAGCCCTTTTGGCACTGTCCTATTGCAACAGGAGGGAGGAGGATATACAGAGGTTACTTAAAAGCCCCAACTTTTTCAGGCTTCTATTGCACTTCAGAAATTCTGCAAGGGAGAAGGGAAAAAAAAGACTATCTGAAACGAAGGTACCCCTGCTCACTAAAAAAACTGCCTTTAGGAGCTTACTGCTGTTAAATAATTGCCACATTTTGAATTGTGTTTTCAGGAGCTTTGGGAAGAAGTTGAGCTCTCATCCATGAATATTTTTTTAGAAGGATGGCATGGCTTTTTCATTGCTACATGCTTACACTGAAATAGATGCGAAAGCAGTTTTGACTAGCTCAAAGAGAAGTCTCTGATCAGCCTACATCTGAGAATTCCCTTAAGGTCGTTAGTGGGAGAGAAATAAGTGGATAAGTGCTTTTTTCTTCCTCCCTCCCCCCCTCCCTTTTCTCCCTTCTCTCTCTTTTTTTTCTTTCCCACTTTCTCATTTTCTCCATCTCTCTCTCAAAAGTGGACTCTCCAGACACAGGAGTTAGCCCTTTAGATATTGGGTGTTTGTGTGCATCGGGACAAAAATACAGTTCTCCCGTAATCATCCACAGACTGTTGTAGGCTGTAGTATTTGGGATGATTGCAGTAGAACTTTGCATGTCATTTTTATTAGGGGAGATAGTATGTGATGCACTTTCTGGAAATATAATTTGCTATTTTGGATTCAATAATGCTGTTTTGGAGGGTGGGAAAGTGAATGATTTTCCAGTTCTGTCTCCTAAAACTCCCTGGTGTTTTCAATGCCTTGCTTCTTCTTGGCAAATACTTCTGTTAGGCTTCCCTCTCCTTCTTGTGCCCCTCTTCTTTTCTAATTCATGTATTATGACAAACACAAAATGCCTTCCAATCCTTAGAGAGCTGTGCTCCATCATTACACTGATGTTTTCTGCCTCTCATTTTTTGTTTATGATGTGAGTTTAAAAATGTGTGGCTCTGTTTCTGGTTTCTCCATCTTACATGTGCCATGCTGGCTCATGTTTGCTTTTTCTTTGCACTCCTTCTTTCTTTCATGGCGTTACATTTTTTAATACAGGATGTCTGAAACAACAAGCACCAACGAGGAAAAGAAAAAACCTCCCCTGAATGGAAGACGAGCCATCCCATCAAACAACTCCAATGAGGAAGAAAATGAGGTCCCTGAGATAGAGGCTTTTGGATTGATACCTAGAGGATTTAATCCAAAAGGTATGGTGTACAATTAACCCATGAGTCTATTTTTACATCTTCCAAACTCACCTCTGCGCAGCTCTGTGAATTAAAACCAAACCACTTTTTTCCTTACATGTCTTGGTCTCAGATGGCTTTTATTGAGAAAACTAGCTAAAAACACCCTCCCCTCTTGATGGCCCCTCTGGTTTGTGTGACCTTAAACTGACTGTGAAACTACTGCAAAATGCTGGCTGGCAGGGAAAACTTGTGCTAGATGTTCAGCTCTCTTGTAAAAACGAATGTGAAACTGAAAGGAATCTCCAGTGTTTTGATTTTTCTCCTATGAAAAGTGTTTCAACCATTTGGCTGGGGAGACAAAACAATATCATTGGAGGGGATGGGTAAATCAAACCACATTCTCAGGGCTGATTCTTTGGAGTGAAGCTGAATAAATTTAAGGAAGATTTGGTTTAAAAGAAATCAGGGTAGTCTCCTGAGGGAGTCACCAACCAAACGACATTAATTTTTTGGCCTATTTGAAATGAACAGCAGAACTTGTTGAACATGGCAACTCAGGTTAGCCAGATGTAATAATACTTAATACTCTTATGGGACTTTTCATCCAGGGTTGAAAGAGTGCTTAATAAATGTAGACAAGCATTAATTACTGCATTTTATACACTGGGAAACAGGCATTTTTAAGTGACAAGTTCAAATTTCTATTGCAAAGCATTATTTCTGTAATCCTAATCATGTGCCTTAACCACACATCCGCCCCATTTTAATACACACTCCTTTCTTTTAAAAGCATTTCTTTTTAAAAATGCCTGAGCAAATCAACTGGCATGTTAAGACTGTAGAAATTTCAATTGAATCTTTTCAAACAACCCTGTAGCTCTGGGGCAAGTATGTGTTTAAATTGTCAAATGTAATGCAGTACAGGTCCTGACTAGACATCATTTCAAACCCAATATGTTCCCAGAAGCTGAGGATGTGTAAGTGTGGGTTACCTTAGAAGGAATGCAGCCTGCAGCTAAAGCCCACCAGTACCAGAAGAAAGATTCCTATTGCTTTTTGATGTGCTTCACATGATGCTTTGAATGAAGTGCAGTGCTGGTGGGTGGGAGCCTCTTGCTTTTCAGAAATGCCATGGAAACTTAAGAATGTCAGGTCAAGTGAGTCAAGGCAGGAGCCTAACACATGCTTAAGGTGATGCTGCTGGTGAGAATAACAGCACTTGTCCAAAGCCAGGGTTTGCGTGGCCATAGGCTAAACCTGGCTATGGGACTGGTATGACTGAAAAATAAATCTGTGTATGACAGCAAAGCTCTTTTTGTATAGCTAGATCAGCTCTGCTTTGCAGTTCAGCTCTGTAATACTTGCAGCAACAACATGAAATGGGTGACCTGAAGGGAAGAGACAGCAGCAGTGTTGCTGTTTCAGTGCACATCAGCAGTGATCTAAAGCCTTTGATACTGGCTGATGTAAGTGTGGTCCCTGGACACACTCTTTTGGGCAGGATGCTTAAGTCACCTGTCAGACCATATTAAAGGTTTATAGCCTAATGGAGCTCAGGCTGGGACTTACATTCAGGAGCTGAGACTGCCCGGAGCACTCGCAGTGTTGTGCTTGGGGGATAAAGTGAGCGCAGGCAGAGCAGAAGCAACAGGGTATGACAGGGCTCTAGTGCCACAAGCACATCCTTGCAGAGAACTGCTTGTCCCACCTCCTTCCCCTTCTGCACATCTCTACATTTCTGTGTCATCCAAATTTTTTGTAGTGGCTCCCATGTCATTGCAATTACACACTGAACAAAGCATGCAAATGCTTTTATCCCTGCTGCTGCAATTAAGGAGTTTTGTAGCCTTTGGTGTAGGACAGGACACCTGCAGTAAACATCCAAACATCACTGTTTTCACATGTGCCAAATTGCAGTCAACACAGAGCTATGCCGTGAATGGAGGTGAAGGCACAGGCTGTCCGGAGAGGCAGTGGGTGTCACTTCCAGGGTGATCTGTAGCCTTCTCTCAGCTTTGCTGGCTGCAACAACCAGCCACCAACTGACCATAATAACAGGTTACATACCAAGCTCACTTCATTTAGATGCCTAAACTTAACTGAATCCTTCCCTTGATCTGCACAGTGTAGGTGTCTACAGCTGAGCTAGTCACCCTCTTTTCCCTTGACAGCCAACAGAGAGAAACAGGCATTTTTAGGGTGTGATTCATTTGACCTATTTTAGCTACTACTCCAGGATGAGGTAAAACCTTGTGCTTGACTAGCTCTCTGCTGACACCCACTTCTACTCAGCTGAATCACAGCCGGAGCAAGCAGTGGATGCTGCCAGGGACCACTGCCTTCTCAGTCCGGTCAGTGGGCTGCCTGCTGCTAGAGCCCGACTTGCTTGCGGGAGGAGATACTTAGCGAGGAGGATGCGCAGCCCCCAAGTGCTTCTTCATCAAGAAGCCTGTATCTCCATGAGCACGCCTGTGCTGTGTCCTCCCCCTGGCTCTTCCTCGCCAGCTCATCTCACTGCAATGTGTTACGAGTGGGCCTGGCGCTTACAGCCGCTTGGTGGGAGGACACAGCCCTGCGGCCCCACAGTCTGCAAGCTCCCCACGCACCCTCCTTTGCAAAGTTTGGCAACTCACCAAAGAATCGTGCTTCCCCTGTTAGCAGAGTGATGGGCACCTCCTTTGGAAACTCACGCTATTGGGTTTGTAATCCAGAGCCCTTTCTCTCTGGACCTCCGAGAAAACATGATGTTTGAAAGCTATTCTTGTTATTCAAACAAACTACTCAAACTTGTGATCATTTATTTTCATGCAAGCTTAACATTGCAAAAGCTTTAAGAAAGCATCAGAGTGCTGCCTCCTGTGCAGCAAACCTGCTTGCACTAAGCAGCAGACCAGGCTAAGGTAAACCATTATATGGACCTGTCTTCAAAGGGGGTCTTGATGATGACCCTTTGTGAGGGACAGATGCCACATCTGTCCCTCACAAACAGATGAGCATAGACTGGAGCCTTCATTTTGATTGCACCCTAGTGATGGTGTTAGCACATCGCAGTACCCTGTTAGGTTTTGTCCTCTGTAATTACCATTAAAGTAACATAGGCTCGGTCACAGGTTATCTTCACCTGGCAAGTTCAATACACATTCTAACACTGAGAGCAAGTGGAATATGCTGCCCACAGATGTGTGTGGTTGTGTTTTAACAGGAGCCATGTAAGTCCTGAAATGAAATGCAGCAAATGGTGAACTGAAGGCCCAGGGTGGCTCAGCTTTGCAGTTCCTTAAGGATTAATGTGAAGGAATGGCTAGGTCACTATTGCCTTTTATTTCAGAACATGAGATGAAAATACAACAAACCCTCAAATTCATTTGTATGCTTCCTCAGAAAGAGGGAGAGGCTGAGCAGAACTTACTGGTAGCTTCCCCCCTCAGAGAGCCCCAAGACATGCAGCTTTTTCATGCAGTGCTTTCAGCCTGGGAGGGGTTGTGGCAGATAAGGGGAGAGCCTCTTCCTTGCCCACCTCCAGGAAATCCCCACCTCATGTAATTTGACTGTGAGCTTTGTCAGCATTATTGTGAGTGATCATTGACTTTTTGGAGGGAGAGAGGCCAAGCATGCCCCACTTCACAGAGGGGCAATGAGAATGATTTCTGAGCAAAATGTACTTAACGTTTCACACAAAAACCATCTCTGTAACTTCAGCCAGTGCTAAAGCCAGTGATGATCTACAGAAGTTACTCCAGAAGGCTGGTGAATTGAGCAGAGAATAACAATAACATTGCCTTGGGACTTTAATCCTGGCTCAGGATTGAACAGGTATTCCAGCTTTTCCTCAGGTTAAGGTTAGCAGGATGGTTTGGGGTTCAGTTGTCCACGACTTTTCCATGAAAGGATCTTTATCTTGCTCTTGTCCCTGGGCATTTTTCTTTCCTTCTGTTTCCCAAAGGGCAGGGAGAGGCAGTTGATGGTGACAATGCACAAGCGGGACCTGCTCCTGCTGCCCTTATTTTCCCTTCTCCTGTTATCTGTAGCCCAGAGCCTAGGCTGGGTGGTTTGGTTGGAGCATGGGAAAGATCATGTTGGTGCCCAGGGGAGCTGCTGCCTGCAAGGCTCTGCTGATGTCTTGAATGCATCCCCTCAGAACGTCTGCTCCCCAGAAAGAGTTGCTTTGCTGCTTGTCCAGAGCTGGCAACTATGCAGTGTTCCCCTGCCCTCAAGGAAAAACAGTGTGCAAAGCTATTTTCTGAGCTTCTGTGAAATGGGTTGTGTTCAGCCTTCAGTGACTTGAATATCCAATTAATTCTCTGAGCACATCATTTCTGCTCACAGTGTACTCAGTAACAGGCCAAATTAACCACCATCATGAGTACGCACAGCTCCACCAGCTGCTGTAAATGTGCACCTCTTTTTGCCAGGCATGAGTTTGTCTCTGTTGCCATCAGTATAAAATGCAAAAATTACACAGTTTCTAACTGTCAGCACCTGGAAAAGCAAGCTGAGAGCTGCAAATCAAGCTTTATTCTTCTGTCTCTCTCACAGTGATGAGCAGTGATGGTCATCCTGGCAGACGTTTTGTGACTATCTGCCCAAGCATGTAGGCGAAAGAATGATGTCTGTTTTCATTTTCATGTGGTTGCTTGTTGTGTGTGAAGACTCCCATTGTGAAGATTCCTGGTATGGTACAGTCATGTATCTCATGGTGACTGCAAGTGCCTTTGGCTATCCCAATACCACCACTGGACATTAGCTGAGCAGACTATCTTCCAGCAGTGGTAGGCTTTTGAACAGCCCTAATTTGAGCAGAGTGAAGATTTGCTCATGTATGTTGCAGATACCTACTGCTGTTTGCCTATAACTCTATGCTGTAACTATATACTGTAATGTTATATTTAGTTTTCAGAAGAAGACACTAATAGCAGTGGAGGTGTACTAAGAAGCTGAGTCTAGACACATACAGTACACCAAAACCTTATTTAATACAGACAATCCAAGCTCGAGCTGAATGAAAGATCATTAGCTGCCTCTGAGCCTCTTCAGCACTCGATAGTGGTAGTGCTTTGCAAACGTTAATGTATTTAAGTGTCACAAAACCCCTGTGAATTTGCATTTTGCAAATGGAAGGCCACAAGAAGTGAGACATGAAGGCACAACTGTCAAGGCCCACAGATTGCTGTGGTAAACTTGCGAAAAGGAGGCCCAGACTTGCAGAAAGCTGATGCCAAAGGAATGTCCATCTTGAGGACATTCAGGTTTCCACCCGCAGGAACCTGTTCATTCTTCAATTGCTTTAGTCATTCCCTAGAAGCGTTGCAACCTCTGTGAAAATGGCAGGTGGGCAAACAAGTGTCAGTCCATAAGTCTCTTGCTCACCCAGGAAAATGTAAGTCCCAAATAGATCCAGTGTGCTCTGTCGCGCAGTGTTCCTTGATGAGCCAAGGCTTAGGAGGCGGAGGACAGGGCCTCTAACAATGTTGATATCAATGTTGACATTCCAACATACTGACTCCTTCCTTCTCTGTTCATTTACGTGTTTCTGCAGATTACCTGCGAGTTGTGGACATTCATATGTTCAAGGAGCCCCACGAGATCAACAAGCAGCAGCACCACACTGACAAGTACTACAGCCCCAAGCTGATAGTGCGTCGGGGACAGATTTTCCAAATCCAGATTGACTTCAATCGACCCTACAATACAGAGACAGACCAGTTCTGGCTGGAGTACTTGATAGGTAAGTGCCTGGCAAAGGTTGTGTCATATCAGCAAAGCAGGGTTGAAGAGTCTCTCAAACACAAACACAGCAGTAATTAATGGTTGTCACAATTAATAAATCAAAAAAACCCCAGGCTTAACTGTAGGCAAGGAACTACTTTTCTAGATAGGGTCTAAATCCTTACTCAAGAAAATCAGCAGAAATACTTGCGAAAGAAGCAGGAGCAGTATTTGCAACCTTCTGTTTAGCAAGAGACTGTACTTCATTGAGCTTTCAGACTACCCCTGGTTAATGCTGTATGTCAATGCTGAAAGGTAGGCGGAACAGAAAACATCTTTTATTAGTGTTTAGGAGATGTACAGAGGAGGAGTCTGTTGTTTCAGGTGGGAGAGATGACTGTGTAAGAGTTAGGATAACAAAATGTTGAGTACACAAGGCAGGGAAGTTACACGGAGTGGAAGAATAGGAAGCCCTGCGACTTTGCAGCCTGCATTTACAGCCGACTTGGTGACAAGGGAGAAGGTTCAGAGATTGTAGCTTTGGGCTAGAGACTTAGGGCCACATCAGAGACTTCCTTGATTTACTGCAAAAAGGGCAAGAAACCTTTTTTGCTCTCACTGAGCCATTTTTGACAAGACCTAATGTACCTGTTGGCTTATGAAGGTACAGGACTAGAGAAGGGGAAAAAACAAGTAATGGAGTGGAGCTTCCTGCTGTGCTCCAAAGATGGCCATGCCGAGCGCCACTCTCTACATGACAGCTCTGGGAAAGCCCCAGCTACATCTAGAGTTATCTGGGAGTTTCTGTGTTAAGACATCAATGTTCTCCTTATAAAGTCTTTAAAGTAGGTTTGAATTGATGTTTTAATTTACTTTACTGAGAGATGCAGTTCCAAAATTTGTAACATTGATTTTTTTTCCACTGCTGAATTATGATGATGTGGCCATTTATTAGATTTGTTGCTTTTTAAAGCTAGATGGGCGTTTATCTCTTAAACATATGTGCAGTGAAAAGGTTACTGTCTGCACATTTTTTTTTTCATGGATCTCTTCTTTCGAATTTAAATTAGGGTTGGGAGGCATGTTATGACAGCCCAGTGAATGATTGGCTGAACAGCCACAAGTGCCTTTAAAAATTTAATATGCATAAATATCATTAGTTCTTTGGGGATTTAATTAAATTCAAGACTCTTCCCTTAATCTTTATATGTTTAAAACAAACAGCTGTATCAAGAAGAAGTGGAAAATGGAACATTTGTTTTTTATTGCATTGTGTGCAGTTTGCATTTATTTTACTCAGTTATTCTATATTGGAAGAAGAAATCTAACACTTAACATTGCACAGTCCACTTAAAGAACATATTCACTTATTTTCCTGTTGCTCTTTCCTAACACGTCTGTATGTACTTTGTACCCCAAATCTCCAAACATGGATAAAAATCTCCTCATCCTCAGCCACAGTAGGAATGGGGTAAAACACAACCCAAGCCAGGGGAGACTTTGCAACAAACTCAGGTCTGAATGATTACTCTGGAGTCAGCTTTGAGCCTGTGGCTGATTTCCCCTTACCATCCTTTGGTGTTACTGTCCTTCCTGTGAAATGGGAATGGTAATGCTGGTGTCCCATGTGTGGTGCCTGGCTATCAGCTGAATGGAAGTGCTGCATATACAGGACAGTATGCAATACTATTGCTCTCCCCTGCTTTTCAAGCGTCTGCTTCTGTGAGCACTATTGCCGTCTTGCTACAAGGAATTTAGCTCACAGACATTCAACTGGGAGATGTCCAAGCTCCTTTTCTAGGAACTGGTTAATTCTCAGTGATCCACAAACGTTTTCTCTTCATGCACATGTAGTGAAAACAATGTACATTTGTTCTCAGAGACTACCAACAGAAAGCAAAACAAAAAAAGTCTACAAAGGAGAACAAAATTATTTGGAGATGATCTGCTTGACTCTTGCTATGTCTCCTTCTAGTGGCAAGTCCAATATTTAATGCCCTGAAGAGGAGAAAGGGGGGACCTCTTATACTTAGGAAAGGACACTGAGTACCCAAGGTTTCAGTGTTGTGCTCTCGAACCATTTATCATGGGGAGATGTGGCCATTTTCAACTAGTTTTTTTCTGTTCATCTACCTGAAGAGCCAGCATGCACCTCTCATGATGCTAGCTGCCTGAAAGTCAGAGCCCAGTACAAAAGCTGTTGCCTATCCTGCCTCTGTAAGCAGAGGAGGGAGGCAGGTACCTCCAGGTGGCACTTTAGCCTTGCTGTGTTAGCATGGGATGGATGAACTCTCTTCTGGATATTTTTCTAGTTCTTCTGTTGACTCTCCCCCGTAGGCGAGCCTCTGAATTTTAAGAACACAAAGACAGGGGAGGTGAATACTGCACTTTGGTACTGTCAGGTAGAAGCACCATAGAATCATAGAATAGTTGAGTCGCACATTTGAGTTTCATTGTAGGAGACCCCACGACTATGCTATTGAGAAGCTTTTCAGCTAACGAAGTGTGTGGGACATTTCCATGGTGTCTACCCAAACATGTAAAATACTGCATGAAAGAGTAAGGTAAAGATAGGTAAAGACCAAGAAGTTGTTAGTCTTGTATCTGCACTCCCTGGGCACCTGAAAGGTAGGTGGGAGATCCCTTTTGTTCTTGCCTATGGCTGTATCTCAGGTAAGATATATGCCTAAACAGCTGTTTCTGGTATTTTTGAGCATTGCTTTCTAAATTTCTTTTTTCAGTTTGCACATGCTTTTTTACCCAATTCTTGGCAAGCACATGGGGCCTCAAAGACATGTAGAGTAAAAAAACTTCAAGTTTTTCATCATTTTTCTGCTAAATCTCGATAGAGAACACCACAAGGAATTCATAGAATCATAGAATAGTTAGGGTTGGAAAGGACCTTAAGATCATCTAGTTCCAACCCCCCTGCTGTGGGCAGGGACACCCTATGCTAAATCATATCACCCAAGGCCTCGTCCAACCTGGTCTTGAACACTGCCAGGGATGGAGCATTCACAACCTCCCTGGGCAACCTATTCCAGTGCCTCACCACCCTAACAGGAAAGAATTTCCTCCTTATATCCAACCTAAACTTCCCCTGTTTAAGTTTTAACCCGTTACCCCTTGTCCTATCACTACAGTCTCTAATGAAGAGTCCCCCCCCAGCATCCCTATAGGCCCCCTTCAGATACTGGAAGGCTGCTAGGAGGTCTCCACGCAGCCTTCTCTTCTCCAGGCTGAACAGCCCCAACTTCCTCAGCCTGTCTTCCTACGGGAGGTGCTTCAGTCCCCTGATCATCCTCGTGGCCCTTCTCTGGGCTTGTTCCAACAGTTCCATGTCCTTTGGATGTTGAGGACACCAGAACTGCACACAATACTCCAGGTGAGGTCTCACAAGAGCAGAGTAGAGGGGCAGGATCACCTCCTTCAACCTGCTGGTCACGCTCCTTCTGATGCAGCCCAGGATACGGTTGCCTTTCTGGGCTGCAAGCGCACACTGAAGCCGGCTCATGTTCATTTTCTCATCGACCAACACCCCCAAGTCCTTCTCCGCAGGGCTGCTCTGAATCTCTTCTCTGCCCAACCTGTAGCTGTGCCTGGGATTGCTCCGACCCAGGTGTAGGACCTTGCACTTGTCATGGTTAAACCTCGTAAGGTTGGCATCTGCCCACCTCACAAGCGTGTCAAGGTCCCTCTGGATGGTATTCCTTCCCTCCAGTGTACCAACTGAACAAAGGCACTTGGGAGCTGACTCAGACAACAGCCATACAGCAGAGCTGGCTTGAGCTCAGAGAAGCTTTTTGCAGTGACATAACGGGTATATCTCCCAGAAAAGTGCTGAGTTTGAGAGGTTAACATGATGGAATACACCCAGAAATATTGACAGGTTGTTCTAAAATGACCTTTCCAAAGAGCTCTCTGTGTGCCTGAGCAGTGGATTTCAAACAGTGTAGCAGAACTGTAGAATAACCTACTTTGGAGGGACCTTCAGGGAACTCATGTCCAAGTCCTTGCTCAAAGCAGGTCCAGGTTGCTCAGGCTGCTCAGGGCCTTGCCCTAGGGACAGGTTTTGAGTATCTCCAAGGGTGGGGATGCTACCCCAAACAGTGTTTACTGAGCTGTAGAATATTTTGGACGTTTCAAGGTGCTGTTCTCATAAGGTACAAAGACACTTTTGGTGGGGATGGATGGCCTTAGCTCCTGGGGAATTCAGTTACAGCTGGGAAATCTCAACGTCTCTTTTTGCAGGGCAGTTCCTATGGTGAGGTCTGTTTATACAACAGCACCACATAAAGCTATTCAGAAATTATTAGTTCCCATCACTGGAAGTTTCCCAGCACTGACGTTAATCCATCACAGAATTTTTATCCATTAAAGACTAATTTTGCTCCTGAAAAATGTGGCAATGGTAATGACTCGACCCTGTCTTTGTGCAGAACTGGTCTATTTCCTTTATGGCCTAAAATTTAGTTTTAGTTCTCTCTTTTTGCTCCTATTTTTGCTTCTTTTCCATCATTAAAAAGATGATTAATGAAGCAAGTAAAGCAAGTAGAGACTGCTTAATCCTTCTAATTGATAATGAATCAAGGGTACCTGGGACAAATGCTTCTCTCATCATGCAGAACTAGGTCTAAGACACTCACGGAATAATCTTCAGTAACAATCTTTTTTAATCCACAGTCCATTTAAAGACCATTTATACAGAGTCTAGGATTCACAGGCTAAATTGTATAAACAAATATATATACGTGTCTGTAAGTATGTAAATATGTCACCTTAATCTCTTGAAAGCCACTTTTATTGATATTCTTCTGCGATGGTTCCTTATGCCTAGAGCAGGTTTTGCTTTAACAGACTGTTTTCCATAGAGTCATTATTGGTGAAACTGGCTGAAGTGCTAACATGTGAATTATTTTAATTCAGTTTTGCACATAATGCTTCATTAAATTAGGACCATACTTCTCTGCTAAAGTATGGAATACTATACATACAATAAATGTGCCAAAAAATCCACAT